CAGTGAGGGGAAAAAAGAAGTGTGGGTTTGGAGATGTTGGCAGGCAGTGAATGTCCAAGTCCCTCACATCAACCTCCACCACACTCGCTGTATCCTCGCTGGGCTCTCAGCTCACAGGATGCGACGCTCCTTGTCTGAACTCTTCTGCATCGGAAAAGAAGTGACGAGTGGTGAAGTTGTTCCTGTGTGACAAGTCATCCTAGCGTTTCATTGGGGAATGAAACTCTCATTTTGGGTCTGTAGCCTCTAAATTTAGCGTTGGATGTTTTCTCTGTAGGGTTTTGATTATGGTCCTACAGATGTATTGTACACCTGTTGGCCTCTTATTATTTTGTGTTTTACAAGAGCTCTGATCTGCCTATTTTCCATTAAAACTGACCATATAATTTACAGAAATTATTAGGGAAGGCTTAATTGGAAGAGTGTAGTTGTTGCAGGTTGTCTCAGTAAATAAGCCGTCATTGTGGTCATGCTTGATTAGCTAACAGTGTGGGCTAAAGGGAAACACAATAATCATCAGGTATATAGCTGCAACTCCCCGACCCAGAGGTTAAATCTTATCATTCAGTGATTTATTATGATGATCGGTTCATTCAGAGTGAAATGGTTGGCAAATCCCTGATGACTTATTTGTGTTGCACAAAGACTTAAAGGCACTTTGCAGAAAGCGCTCCTTACACATCCAGAGTTCTAGTGCACAGATAGGCAGAGCTCCAGTTTCCCCCTTCTCTGTCCTCTGTCCTCAGTGGGCCGCCAGCCAATATCTGTGCCCAGTTAACAGCGCAGTGCTGGGAACCCCAAGGCCCCAAGCAGGTGTCAACCTCCCTGCCCAGCCAAAGGAGCTGAGAGGGGAACACAAAGGGCTCAAAGAGACCTGCCAGCATGGTAACCGTCTTAAATATCCCAGGCCCAGTATGGCCACTCCTCTAAATCTCTCAGCAGCATAGGGTAGCTGCCAGTAAGCTCTTTCTGCTACTGTAACACTGACTCTCAAAGGGGTTTGAAGCTTTTTTTTTTTTTAAGCTTTGCCCTAAATGGGGTTCAGAGTGGTGAGATTGATAGAGGGCATCAGGAGTGCACAGATAGAGGGATGAGCCTCATTTAAAGCTTTTATTTATACAGTGTGCCACCAGAGGATTTTTTTTTTTTTTTTTCAAAGGACAAAAAACAGAGAGAAATTTTGTCTGCCCAGGCAGTTTTCATCATGGATTCAGTATTGTTATCTCATCCATTCACGCTGTGTGGACGTCAGCCCCCTTTCTTTCTCTCTGCTTGTATTTAACAATCACAATTTATGCTACCATCGTTATTAGACAGTTTATGGATCATCTTTACAGGATGCTTCCAGATCCAGATCTCTTGGGCTTGTGTGATCTTTGAAAACACTGGTTTGGCTCAGGGCTTTCCTCACGGCTAAGCTGTCCTGGCATTTCCATTGGCAAGACTGTAAAAGAACTGGATGAGAGGGAGAAGTGATGCTCTCTCCTCTCTCCTTCGCTCTCTGTCCTCTCTCTCTCTCTCTCTCTCTCTCCCTCCCTCTCTGTTCATTGTAGACTACTCTGCAGTGATGATGTGATGGGGGGAGGAGTGGAGTGGAGTGGAGGCTCCCCTCATCTTCAGTAAACAATAGGTCCTTGTGTATTTGACCCCCTCTGTAGCAGAGTGGAGTCCATGGTTAGGGCTGAAGCCGGGATGGAATTCCATCTTTGCCTGATTCAGTTCGTGGAAACCGTCACCCACCCTACCCCCCCTCAACAAAAAACAAAACAACAACAAAAAAAAAAAAAAGACAACAATCCCAGTATAAGGAGGGTCATGCTACTGGGGCTATTTGTTCTCATTTACAACCAAATCAATAATCAATTATCGTTCTCCCCCTTTTTCTCTAGCTGTGGGGGTCCTCATTCATTATCTATACATGCTGTGCCACACGAGACATCTCCCCCTCAGCCGGGTAATTGATTGCTAACCTATATTTGAGTGGAATAAGCCACAATGGTGCTACTAGGTCATTAAAAAGTGGCTGACAATGATTTATCTGTTCTGTGACCTTATCATTTGTTCTTTAAGGTTGGTTAAAATGAGGACAAATGACTAAAACAGCTAAAACACTTTCCCTTGTGCAGACGGTATCGTGTAGGTCATTTTTATTCACTAGGTTTTTCCCTTCAGCTACTTGATTGTAACAGATTTATTTTCAGTAGCTTGGATGCTAATTAACTCCACGTTATTCGGACATGACGAGAAAGCGTTTTGGTTTCTGTGAGTGAAAAGTTTTATCTCGATCCTCATCTTACAAGACATCCGATAACCTTTTATCCCCTTCTTTGTGTGTCCGGCCCACCCATTTTGCGGAGGTGTGCTGCGGGTACTTCCAGCTTCTTATGAAAACCAGAATAACCTGTTTGGTGCCAGCTCACTTTACTCTCCCAGCAAAGTGAAGCAAGTCACCTGACCAGTCAAACCCACCTCCCATCTGCTTGTTACTATTTCATTGGCCTGCGGGCAGCAAATGTTTCCACCAGCAATCTACAGTCACAAACTAATGTTGTACAAGCCATGTTCATTGGTGTGACACATGAGTAAAGGCAGGGTACCCGGCTGGTGTACCACGCTGTTCCTTTCACATGATTGGATCAAGAGAAAGGAAGTCCATGAGCCTTACAATTGAATTATGTCAGTTAATCACTTTCTGACTTAATGCCATTTCATTGTTAATAATATTTACAGAGTAAAGAAGGTAATCAGTCCTCTGTTTATGTCAGAATGAATTTAGTTGACAATCATGGAAATTGACCTCAAGATTATTTTACATGTGCCCTTCATTGCCGTAAATTTAGCAAACATGGCATGTATTACAAGCAGGATTGAGAACAGATTTAGAGATTTATTTTAATATTTTACTTAAGCCTTAAAGCTTGTGCTTTCCCCCCCAGCTTTCCTGTTGACCTAAAACTGCTGACTTTAAACATGGTTTGTTTCGACCGTTAAAATATTAACCATTTTAGATAAAAATGGGTCCTAACAAAATGACTGAAAGCACCAAAATGCCATTAGTGTTAGTAAGTGAATCTATATTTGAGGCGCATTCCTCCCAAAAGTAGCATTTCAAGATAAAACCATATACTTGTCCTAAATTTTTATGTTATGAATTTGATATTGGTTTCTATTTTATAACATATCATTATTGTTTTGAGGCCATTAGTAACCAAGACTAGCATTTATTTTCTCCCTTCTCGGCATTTGGGAGTAATTAGTTTGATTTTACCAGTGTAATGAATGTGCAGTGACGTGCACTTTAAAGCTAAGTGCTAAAGAAAAATGCCTGGCTTTAAACATGACTTCTTAAGGTTTTATCGAATATGACAACATAAGCCTCCATAGGTGGGTCTGGATAAGTTGAATGCTCACACAGATGACACAGGACACCCTAATGGAGTCCTTATCAGGCACACACTGAGGTGAATGCACCGGGAGAGAACTGTTAAAAGGCAGGCGGATCACAGTGCTCTACAAATTGGCAAATGGAAAACAACACCTGCACCTGATAAGGGCTTATAGATACCAGATATGCTGTCATCATCCTGATCGTCACCGTCAGCATCAGCGTCATTGTCATCATCATCAGCCGAGGCAAACGGATACGCCATTCGCTGTTTCTTAACAATGGTGCTATGCAGAATAACAAGTTTTTAATAAAAGGGGGATTTTCCTAAGCCTCAGGTGTTAAATTGTTACATAACACAGTAAACTGAGGTGTCATGCAGTGGTCATAACACACATGTCAGAGTTTCACGACAGCTGTGTGTGTGTGTGTTTTTTTTTGGGGGGGGGGGGTTGATACAAACTAGAGTGAGTGGTTATCCGCTGCTCTAAGTCATGCAAGTTAGACCTCATCATGTGCTGCATCCTTCACTGCCCCCTCTCTGGGGCAAGAGTGGAACTCCACATCTGTTTTCCTGCCTTGTTGTTCAGCCCCACATTTCTGAAAGAGTCAGTTACAAGATGGCCTTTAGGTGAAAGTGTGAAAATTGCATTGGCTCTGTTGTTTCTCACCATTGGTGAGAGTTTACTTCCTTTGTTTTGCAGTGTGTTTAAAAAGAACTGCTGATTAATTACCATGAAGGAGAAACGACAAAGGAAGCTTTTAGTTCCTGATGTATATATGACCTTCTTTTAGAGAACAGCTGACTATTGAGTCCATTATTCCCTTAAAAACCAACACAAATAGCACATGAATTTAAAAAATGTGAAATGAAAAGTTTCACACACATGAAACAGACATTTCTTGTCTAATTAAAAACTTGCATGATATAGCACCAAAGGCTTTTGGATACTTCACATGTGAAATACTGTATTTCATATAGGCCTGCAACTAACTAATTTTCATTATTGAATAACCTGCATATTATTTTATTGACTAAGGGATTATTTAGTCTATAAAATGTCAGACAGTGAGAATGCTAATTACTGTTTCTCAGAGCCAAGTGACATCTTCAATTTGCTTGTTTTGTCTGACCAACAGTTCAGAACAATACAAAGATATTAGATCGTCATATCTGTCAAACAGAAACAGAATATCCCGACATTTGAGAAGCTGGAATTGATCAATTCATGATTGCAGCTCTAGTGTCATTACTGAAGTGGTCCAGAATGTTGTTTTTTTTTTCATAGGAGAAATATCTGTATTTCCCATGTGAAAACATAAATATGATATGTATTTTTATTTTAAGAGAAGTGTTTTTTGTTGTGCAGTTTCTGTCCAAACGATCATCTCTCATGCATGTGACGTGCTGCACTAACCTTCTGAGCGATACAAAAGAGGATGAATCAGTCCTGCCAGCTTTCAGTCTGAGGGAAGTGGATTTGATGCCTGCCCCCTTTTAGCGGCTGTGCTGCATGATAAGATCAGGCTGTGAGGAGCTCATTCATGCTTTTTCGGTGCGTCAGGTTTTACTGTGTCACTTTACTTTTGTCCGTCTGTGTGTCTGTTTTTGCAGAGGAAACTTCACAGTTCCGAAGTTATCAGAGTCTAATATGGGATTTGGCGTGCTGGGAGTGTTTCTGGGGCTGCTCCTGGAGGTCTCCACACATGGACCTCATGCTGTGCCCCGAACTTCCTGGAGACACCAAGGTAAGGTGTATTGTACTTTATAACATTGTATAAATGTAATATGTCTGAGTAATGGTTGTATAATATTTTCTGATATTGGTAGAAATCAGCCCATACTACTACAATAACATTTCAGAATCAGATTTATTTGTCACTACCATAATACGCATTTCAGCATACATGGAAGCGAAATACTGTACTCCACAGATCAGGGTCACATTTTAAAAACCACAAAAGACACATTATACACAAAACACATTATACATGTGACATTAAAACATGAAAAGAGAGCAGCATTAAAAACTTTGATAAGAGTAGTTTAATGCTAATGCAGCGGGTGTCCTTAATAAACAGCAATCAGTGGACACTTTAAGTGCTGGTGCATTTTTTTGCATCTGTCACCCTTTGGTGTTAGAGGTAGGGGTGGGGGGTAGCATTTGTAACTAAGTAAGCAATTTGAAGACATCAGTCTCGACTCTGATGACTTTTAATTGGTGTTAATCTTTTTAATTCCCCTATCACATGATTTTTACACGTGTCAGTCAGTGAAGTAGTCAGTGTATGTTTTGTTTGCAACATCCAATGTAAAGTTCACTTCCTCTACGGTCAATGCAGAGGGAACTGAACTTTCTTCATAGATGGATCCTAATCATATATCAAAGCTGTCTTTTGACTGAAGGTTGCAACACATGATGTGGTCAAACCTGTTTCCTTAATTCATCTCAACAGACGGCCCTCAGTCTCACCACAAGTTCTTGAATTAGATGATTTACTCTCGCAGAAGTTGTGCTTGTATAATGCAGTTCACATAAATAGCTCCAGCTAGCTAACTCTGTGAGAACCAGTGCAGCTCACCCTTTAACAACCCCTCACTGTGGAACAGTCATTGTTGCAGTCAGTCAGCCAGTCAGCCAGTCAGCCAGTCAGTCAGTCAGTCAGTCAGTCAGTCAGTCAGTCAGTCAGTGTATTTGCTTTCATCATTGTGGCACTCATGTCCAGGCACCTGCAACCCGAACCCACTTGCACCTGGCACAACCAAAGCCATCCAAACACAAACTCTGCACCATCACAACACACAGTACAGGAAGAGACACACTTACATAATGCCAATGTGTCTCAAACGTCTGTGTTTGAGGGTTCAGCCTCCACAGTGATCACAGTTGTGTTTTGGTGATAGAGGTACAACTTGACCCTGCTGCAACTGGAAACGACGCTGACGAGGATGATGAAAGTGAATCCAAACCCTGACAAAGTCGCATAAAACCAAAACAATGAGCTGAAAGACATTCAAGCACTTTGTAGAGAAGAGTGGTAATCATCTGTGTGTTCATAGCTACCGGCGACTTCTTTCACATAAATCAGTCATTTGATCTAAATATAAAAAATATTGATTATAGCAGCATTAAATTCTCATCACTGTTGTTCAGATTTTGATAGGTAAAAATGAGCATATTTAGTTTATGGTCGTTTCGGATGCTCAAGTAATGTGATCCAATCCTTTTGTGCTCAGATTTAGAGCTGATGGAGTTCTCAGAGCCCGGGATCTTCAACTACTCCACGTTGTTGCTGAGTGACAAAAGGGATGCTCTGTATGTGGGAGCCAGGGAGGCCATCTTTGAGCTCAGCAAGAAGAATGTGACAGTCAGAAACAACAAGGTATCAAAATACCAATAAGATTTGTGACAAACGGAGATTAAAAAATAAAATGAAATAAAAATATGATAATAATGTTCTTCACTCTTTTTTTCTTTTTTTTTTTTGTTAAACCATTTTAAGGTTCAGTGGACAGTTGCAGAAAACCCCATGCTGATGTGCACGCTTAAAGGAAAATCAAAAGAGGTTAGTTCAACAACTCATATTTTAATGGTGTTTTATCTTTCTTAACCTATATGGTGTCAGAGTAACTGTTTCTAGTGTTGGAAAGGAACAGTCTACAGTAAAATGTGTGCTTCAATGTGTTGAATGTTGCTTTCCAGAGGGATTGTCTAAACTACATCCGAGTGCTCCAAGTCGTAGATGACGAGCGGCTGTATGTCTGTGGCACACACGCTTTTCAACCGCAGTGTGATTACTTGGTGAGTTAATGTTCAACCCCCACCCCCCCACCCCCTTCACTGGGAACATCGCGCTGCACAAATAAACGTGTTTGGGCTCGTCAATCAGCGCAGCAACCTTTTTAACTGAAATTTAATCTCCTCTCTCAGAACCTCGCTGACTTTTCTTTGCATGGTCGACCTGAAGATGGCAGGGGAAAATGCTCCTTTGACCCCTCCCAAAGCTTCACCACGGTCATGGTTGGTGAGTAGAGGACAGTTTTTTATCTAATTTCACAAAAAGCCCTTGGTTGTCAGCCTCCTGTAAAATGCATAATAATCCTCAATAATCTCTCCTTTTTTTGGGGAGGATGCAAAATGGACTCTCTGGACAATAAAATGCTTTTTTTGTTGCTTCATTGTCTGCTTTTCTATCAGATGGAGAGCTGTACTCAGGAACAGCTTATAACTTCTTAGGCAGTGAACCGATTATTTCCAGATACTCTCCATACCAGTCCCTGCTGAGGACAGAGTACTCCACATCGTGGCTCAATGGTGAGTTGGAAAAACTGTGTGACACCTTGAATTGATTTAAAGATTGTTTGGCTGCGAGGAGAAGATTTTGTAAATTATTTTCCAAAGCATGAAAAAGATAATGTGTCTAGTAGAGATGTTCTGATCCATTCCTAAATATCGGTATTGGGGCCGATCTGGGTGTATTTTAATGGACGCACATCATCTGATGTAAATCTAAATCCAGTCTTTTCTTTACTCTGCTCTACTGTGTTTTGTCCATCTCAGCCTGCTGGTGTTGCTTTAAAACATCCAACTGTGCAAGCATTTTGCTCATATGTGCAAGTGAAATTTGGCAAATTGGCAAAATGCTCAGATGGTAACAAATCTGTTCCTGATTTGCAATGTACAAAACTTCCAGGTGAGGCAGGTTATCTTTTCTTGCTGGTGCTGACTGTCACCATCACTGGTTAAAATGACAAATGTCACTGGTGGCAGGTAACAACTTGTGTTTATTCTTTGAGTAACTTGATGGCGTGCCCAAATGAAACATGCCTGTAAAATATGTCACAATATACTATAAATGTTGTGTTTTGTCATTTTCTCCAGTGAAATGTTTTGGGGTTTTTTTTTTGCATATTGTTCAGTCCTACTCTGTGCAATTGTAAGTGGAGTGTTTTTGTAGTTCCACCCTTAGGAACAGGAATACAGCAAGGCTTTCATAATAACAGTAAAAGGCTCTATAGGGAAGGAATGCTAGGACAGATGATCTAACACCTTTCTCTCTTCCCCCTCCTCTCTCTTGCAGAGCCCAGTTTTGTTTTTGCCGACGTGATCAGAGAAGGGAGAAACCAAGCATATGGCGAGGATGATAAAATCTACTACTTCTTCACTGAGGTGTCAGTGGAGTATGAATTCTTTGGCAAGCTGCTCATCCCCAGGGTGGCGCGCGTCTGTAAGGTCAGCAACACGTCATGTACCATCTGTACATACCAGCAGCATCCATCTTTAGTCCTATTGTCTGTGTTTGTGTGTGTGTGTGCGCATGTCTTGCTCTGTGTAGAGTCTTCTCCTTCCTTTCTCTTGTACCTAACCTGAGTTAATATCATAGCATTAATTAGCTAGTTAGTCATCAAATTTCATTATTTATTGTTTAAAAACACTTACTGTTACAGTGGTAAAGCAAACAACATTACATTCCAAACGATAAGGATATCTTATGCCCTTAAATCAGCCCTGAAATCAATGAGTGCCCTTAAATGAACCGTGATGCCATTTGTATGTCCTCCAAAAAACCAGAACAGGACACATCAGTTCATTTTATTGTATTATTAGACATCAATTTCTGTTGTATGTATTATCAAACTAAGCATACACTCATACACATGCTTTCTCCTTTCATCTGTTTTCTTCAACCATAATGTCTTCAATATCCCACCACAGGGGGACCTCGGGGGGCAGCGCACTCTGCAGAAGAAATGGACGTCCTTCCTAAAAGCCAAGCTGGTGTGCTCCATGCCTGAGCTCAACTTTGTCTTCAACGTAGTTCATGACGTCTTCATTCTGAAGGAGTCGGACTGGAGGGACACAGTCATCTACGGCGTCTTCACCTCCCAGTGGTCAGTGATTGGAAGATGTTGAGCGGGGAATCAGTTGGGTCCAGGAAAGGGGAGGAAAAAAATGGGGTATCGCAATTTAACGCAGGTCCTTAAATTCACTTCTTTTCCCTCCCTCATTTCTCTCCCACCTCATCATCATCATCATCCTCATCCTCGTCCCCCAGGGGTAATGTGGGCTTGTCAGCTGTGTGTGCCTATAACATGACAGCTGTGGAGGATGTCTTCTCCAAGGGCAAGTACATGCAGAAGGCCACAGTGGAGCAGTCCCACACTAAGTGGGTGCGGTACAATGGCATCACTCCTTCTCCACGTCCTGGAGCAGTAAGTACCTCGAACACAACTTCACAGTTAAAAGCTTCTTCAGAGTTTAGTCCAGGACCAGTCTCAGTCCACAGAATAACGCGTCTTACATTTTACTGTGCATACAGTGGATGTGAAGATATAATGTGAACTTTCTCCTCCACCAGTGTATTAACAACCTGATGCGACAGCAGAACATCAGCAGCTCTCTCCACCTGCCAGACAAGACCCTTCAGTTTGTTAAGGACCACCCCCTGCTGGAGGATCCCGTCCTGCCCATCGGCAACGGGCCTCGCCTCATCACCAAAGACGTCAACTACACTCAGATCGTTGTAGAGAGGGTGCAAGCGCTTGATGGGAACATTTATGACGTAATCTTCACTGGAACAGGTTACAACACATCAGATAATACTTCTACAAATTTGAAATGGAAACTGTTGAAAAAGGGAAGTCCTTATATTAGCCGCTGATACCTATCGGAGTCATTTTAAGTATGTATGTGCTGGTTCAGTGTTTAGTGTCCCAATCTGACATTCATTTTAAAGAAAATCAGTACAGTTTACACATGGAAAATATGCTTGACAATTAAATAGCTCTGCATTAAGAAACTTTTATCCTGTATCACAAATTTCCAACATTTGTTTTGATTTTTTTTTTTTTTTTTGATTTCATTTTTCAAAAAAAACAAAGTGGACAACATGTTAAAATATACAACACTGACCATATCACATTATGGGTTGTTTAGTTTGCCTTGTTTGGATAATGTTTGTTTCCAACACAAATGACAATTACAATACATGGAGAATAATATGCTAAAATAAACAAAGTAAAGACCTCGTACTGTATAGCTGATATTCCCAAATTAAAGTATGCCTTGACTGGCTCTGTGTATTGATCATAGAGTGTGATCATTCAGTTCATCCAGAGTCTTGATCATTGAATTAAAAAGGCTCATCTATGGTCTCTGCTCTGGCTGAATGACTGACTGACATTTTACCATCTTCATTTTTAGATAAGGGAGTCCTGCACAAGTCGGTGGTGTTTGAAGGAGACGTTCATATTGTGGAGGAGATCCAGCTCCTGAAGAACTCTGAGCCCATCAAGAACTTACTGCTGTCCTCGGAGGTCAGTGTACTTTTGTGTGCAAGTGAGATGTGATTGCTCACAATGGGCTCACAATAGGAAGTTACCAAGAAGATCAAAACCAACAGTTCCTCTAAATCAGATGAGACTGCATGTTTAGTTTAACTGTAGCGTGTGTTGGAGGTCGTCTGGACCTTTTTGATGATTTACTTTTTAAAGTGATTTCTAGACTTATCGTGTGTGTGTTTAAGCATTGTGAAGTTCTTAATGAATTGTGTTTTTTAATAGTTTTTATTTGAAAGTTTGTTCTCCCTTTCTTTGGCATATTTATGTGAACAACCTCCTGCTTCCACAGACACGGTCCCTGTATGCTGGTTCAGACTCGGGCGTTGTCCAGTCCCCCACAGCGTTCTGTGGGAGGTATTCGTCCTGCGATGACTGCGTCCTGGCACGAGACCCCTACTGTGCCTGGAACCGTCATACTGCCGCCTGTGTCAGTATCTTTGATGCTCCCAGACAACAGCCCAGGTAACTCACCATCAAGCTAGATTTACGATCTTCGTTCTACATACCAGAACTCCACTCATGCATTATCATAGTGGTTAACGAAAGCGAAAACCAACATTGAGAGACATCTTTACTGATACTCCATCCAGTTTGACCTGCTTTAATAAGAACAAATAATATTTGTTTCTTGTTTGTTTTTTTTTTTTCAGGAATCTAATCCAGAGCCTGAATGGTGACGCAGACAAGTGTCCATCAGGTAAGCTGCAACATACTCACATACAGCCTGATATAGAAACTTTATAACATAGACAGAGAGAGTAAAACATGTACAGTATCACATGTTTGCAGTAAACTCTCATCAGCATCTTTATTTTTAAGCAGGATATCCAAAACCTATTACTAAACAAGACTTTAACCACCTATAAGTCATTATTCTCTCACTGTTTTGCCTTGTAGTGTCACGTCTGTCTCTGAAGGACTACCGACATGTGAGGGTGAAACCGGGAAGCTCTGTTGAGCTGCCGTGCCTGGTACCCTCCAATCTAGCCCAGGTGAATTGGAAATCCAACGGCTCGGTTCTCACTGAGGCCTCTCGCTTCCACCTCATTGGCGAAAACGGTCTCCTCATTTACAGCGTGGCTCCAGAGGATCAAGGTCATTACGAGTGCTGGTCCGTGGAGTGGGCCCCCGCTGCTGGAAAGAACTTCACCCGCCTCCTGGCCGGATACATCCTTACTCTGGATCTCCCGCCCAGACCCCCGCAGCAGGGGGGCCACGTCACCACCACCCTCGGCAGCCAGGAGACATCTAGCACACATGCCGCTGAAGGTAATGGTAAGACAGACAGAGCCCCACTAACTTCAGCCCTTGCCCCTCCCAGCTTCACAGCTTCAGTCACCTTCACCTCTCCACCCCAAACTGACTCATCACTAACCCCGCCCCCTAGCAGCACAATCAAGATCCAGCCAAAGCATCATCTTCCACCAAGCTCCAACGCTCCCCGCCCAGACAACCGGGACCCATCAGCTGAGTATTTGCAGCACAACAACAGCATCGCCCTCCTCTTCCTCTTCCTCCTGTTTTTCCTCCTCTTCCTGGCTGCATTGGCCTACAACTGCTACATGCAGTATCTTCCAGCTCCCTGCCTGCGTATGCGAGCGGCTCTGTTGGGGAGTCAAAAGAGTGCCCATCAGCCCGAGTATCGGGCCTGTGAAGCAGGTCTGATGGAAGCGACCGCGGCTGACAAAATTAACCTGACGGAGCAACCAACACAGAACGGCAGCCAAACCACCCAAAACCTCCGGGCGCTCCGTGACACCGGCTACGAGACTGAGCCAGAGTGTGGCAACGGTCGGATCCCCTCTCATAGTTTTGGAGAGGACAGTCCATCGCAGGAGAAACCCTTTGATGTGGACTGTGAATCTCAGCCCATCCAGTTTGCAGATGCAGATGAACCTTACTGCTAGCCAGAAGCCTCTGCTCTGCTTTCGTTTCTCTTAGCACAGAGACGATTTATAGGGGGTCACGCTCTTGCTGCATCTTCCCACGACTCGCACGTCTAAAGTGGCGTCCTCTATGTGGAAGTATGTTCAGTGTACAGCATCAAGTGAAGTTTAATCATTACAAGGCTTAAGTCAGGCGCCCCACTTGCCTGTAGAGATCTAACTCCTGCTGTCTGATTTAGGGCTTTTGATGATCAAACAAAACTGCCTTCATGGAAGCTGCACCCTCTCAGTTTAGTCCAGCAAGTAAAGCTATTTCTTAAATTCCAAATTGGAAACATTGTTTACCAAATTGGTAAGTTACTGTGATGTTTTCCAAATTGGAATCGTGTTTTTGTATAGCCTGGGTGAAAAGTAATCTCTTAAAAGCTTTTGCATCTTTTTTTTCTTTTTTTTTTCAAAGCAGTGTGTAGGCTATTGGACTTGGGCACATGCTTCAGCATTATAGTGTTTTCTCAGGGAAGATTTGCTCAGTATGTTGCAGCCTTGCTTTGTTGTACAGTGTTGCCATCTGCAGCACCTGGTATGTGGGCCTTAATCTCACCCGGTAAGGTGGTCATGAAGAGTTTGAAGGTCAGAAAAAGAGAAAAAAAGAAATAAATCAAGCCACTGTCTTGTGTAGAGTCATTCTGCGTGACAATGTTGAGTCTCTGTATTTTTTTTCCTCTGTGTGAAGTAGACATCCCTTCATGGATACAGCTGATGCTCCTGTGTATTAACCTCTACTAGTCATCTTCCCTTATGTGGTTTGTTAATAACATAAATATGTAGTGTGACATGATGCTTGGTGATATCAATCATCAGTTGTTCTTTTTCTGAACCAGCCCTGGAAACAATCTGAAGATATTTTTTATAATTATTTTTAATTAAACCTTCAGTTTTAGAGCATTTTCAGAGAATTATTATTTAAGATGAGTCTCATCTGTGGTAATATCATTTTGTTCCCTGTGCAAGTAGTTGTGATTTTACCCTTTTGCTTTTATTTTATTTATTGCAACAGATTTGTTTTTTAGATCCTAGCCTTCATTCATTAGTCTCCCTGTAATCTGTTTTGCATGTCCTCCCTTGTTTAGATTTCCTAGTTTCCTCAATACTCTCTTTTTGCATCACTCCCTCCCTCACAGCCTCCTCTCCTGTCGACACTTCATCTTCCCTGTCCTCCTCTGGAAGTAGCACTCCCTCTGCCCTCCCTTCCTCCTCCTCCTCTTCTTCCTCCTCTACTTCCACCTCCTCCTCTTCCTCCTCTGCCAAGCCCCACAGCGTGGAGGCTCGGGAGGCAGAGGTGAGACTTCTGCCTCCCTTGCTGAAGGATCAGGCCTGGGGGGTTCATGCCCAGGAGGCCTTCCTGCTCTTCTGCCTCGCCTTGGGTGAGTGGTGCCTCTGACAATGACTCAGCTCACACCCCAAAACCAAACTGTCCTGAGTTTGGAAATCTTCTCTCACTTTTTAACTCCCCTTTTTCTCTACGCTATTATTTTTCTTATTCTCTCTTGTTTCTACTTCTTGCATGCCACCATTTCCCAAAACATAAACTAACTGGAAGTGTGTGTGTGTGTGTGTTTCTGGATTTGCTTAAAACAAGCCTGCCCTTTTCTTTAAGGTGTCTGATTCACAGAAAAGAGTTCATCTCCAATTTAGGTGTCTCACAAGATAACTGTATCATGAGTGAATGTTTAAAAAGACAAAGCTGGGATTCACCTCTGTGATCTGGTCGTCTCACAGTTCTCACCTCCATGTGAAATTTTATGTATATTGTTGTTTAACAGCAGTCTGACATTAAACATGTAAAATCTAGAGGTGGATTTCTCTCAACCAGGGTGTGAGAATCTCCCCTCAGAACAAACTATTGTAGGCTTAGTTGTCTTACATCTCAAACTTTCAATTTTTGTGCCTGTAAACAAGTGTAAATATATTTGTATATATGGAAAAATACAATTGAAGATGTACATAAATCTAGGAGACATTTTGGGGCTGTGTCTCTTGCTAGGGAGGCTAAATAAATCTTGTCAAATGTTTTCAACACTGGCTTGTTTTTCTTAAGTCTTTGACTTCAGTCATTTCTTTTTTAAACATTGGGGATAATTGCAAAAAGTGCTACAAAATACTAAACTACTAAATGTGGCTATAAGATTGTGATCTTTTTACATATACTGAAAATATAATCAGAAATATTTTTAAAATACTAGTAGATCAACCTGAAAATTACTTATTGTAAATATGCAGCTCATTAAGTCCTGCTTCTTGCAGCCTGTTTCAGATGCGATCATTATCAGACCTGAGATCAGGTATTATGCACAACCTTTCACTTTCACATTCAACCTTTATTTACATGTATACAATGTGAACAGTTCACACTCTTGCATGGGCGTGTACAGTATGGGCTAAAGCTATATTCATTCAAACCTCTACAGCTGTTCAATGAAATTGAACACCACTAACGGACATGTCAAAGGCAAGTATTACCATTTCATGTAGAGTACGTCTATGTGGAGTGTCCGTGTCTTGACCGTCATGGGTCAATATGAAGTCCGATTCTGTCCCTCAGGTCCCAGTGATGTCCACATTCACTGGCTAATAAATGGACACACTCTGGACACCCCCATAATGGAGTACCGCCTGCCAGTGGGTCAGAGAGAGGTACTAGTGAGCAGCTGGCTCCGAGAGGGGCCGCTGATCAAAGACGCCCGTTACCACTGCGTTGCTGAGGCCAGCACAGGAAATGACATTTCTGAGGTGGACCTCCACCTCACTATTGGAGGTATTTAGTGTTGAGTGGCTGTAACAATGTCTGGTGTACAGATCATTATGCTTTCGCCTATTAAAACCTGTTATGTCTCCAAAATATGAGCAACATTGTGATTACAGTAATGCATGTAGAGTGGTAATGGAGTAAAGGGCCGGGTCCAGGCCCTGGGATTGGTTCTAAAGTAGTCCAGAGATGGATATTTTTAATGGTTTATGTCCATAAAAGATTATGATGTTATTTGACAGATGAGGAGAGCATTCCATCCAGGGATTTGAACCAATGGAGAGGTGCACTCACAGAGCATGAGCAACTGCTAAAAAGATGGGAAAAGGCCTGGGTAGGTCTAAGTTCTTGCATGTGAGTGTGTTTTCTCCTGATCTCATGAATGGTTTTGTGCAGTTGCCCAGGTTGACTTGCATCATACCAGTTTTAACCTGCTCTGCATGTTGGCTTCGGGGCAAGTGGTTTCAGCTCTGTCTTTGCGTTAGAGGAGTGTAAAGTCCAGATTTTTTGGGCCAGTGGCAGATAATCTGGAATGCAAAGCTACAGTAAACCAGTTGTTCTGCAAATGATCTTTATGCTACAGTGTTTTCCACAGTCTGAATAAGGTGTGGAAAGGCTTACGGTTACGTTTAGGGGGTTGGGATGAGGGATAGAAACCACCTCAAAGTGGGTTATTCTTGAATAACATTTTTTCTGAATGAGATAGAGACTTGCAAGCCTATTTCCACATTCAATGGTACCAAGCTGGAGTCTCTAAGGCCATCTGAAGTGGGTTTTCTGGACATGGGGTTTCCATTGTTGGGCTGTAACTCCGTGGCTGTTTGAGGCAGATACATGATACCATACAAGATACACTCTTGGTGTGGTGGATGATCTTGTGTCCCTCATGAAATATGTGTCTAAGTTATACCGTTCCCGAGATATGACAAGTGACCACTAGAGGGCGGGAGAGTGTGTTTCAAGCCATTTTGGACCATATTGACTTGCCCTGACTTCTGGGTGAAAAGTTGGAAAAAATGATCTAGTATGAAGTCAAAATTTTTCCCTGTCGAAGTTGCTTGGGAAGGTCAGGTTAAGGTTAGGGATATGATTAGGGATGGAAACCACCTCAAAGTCATAGTATGTTATTCTTGAATAACTTCAGAGTTAGGGTATGGGTTAGGCTTAGGGGTTAGGGTTTTCACTAAACTTCACTAAATTGTTGATCATTGCATTAATACAGATTGTACGTCACTTTTCTTTCTCTTATTTCTACTTTTTTTCGTACTTCAGATTTAGTTTGAATGCATTTGCACTTTTTGCATGGACCAGAAAAAAATGCAAGTTCCCTCATTGCAAACTAGTTTAATTTTACCTTGATAATCAGACTGAATAACTATTTTGTTTTCATTTAATTTCATTTTGGCTTAAGTGCATTTGGTGAGATTTTAGTAAACATCAGTCCCCAAATATTTCTTTCATGTTTGCATCCTCCTCTACTTTTCAGTTCAACTCTGTTTTTTCCCTCCACAGGAAAGCTGTGATGGCCACCGAGCTCTGTGAAGATGTCACAAGCTTCACTTGTGTTGGCTGAATCTAGGCGTGAACATGGTCCTCAGCCCAGGTGGACCACATTTTTGACATTAAAACGATCATAAACAGCTAGAATGTATAAAAAAAGTCCCAGTGTCACTTCTTTGACACTGCAGTTTGATGGACCGTGACGCGAAGCACTCACAACACCTGCCTTCTGCAGGGGCTCACCTGGTTGTGACGATGGACGGTGCTGGGACTCCTGCCAAACCTGACGAGGAGATGAACCTCATTGGTTGCCTCTGTCCGAGGACGCATGGGCTACCTTTTTACCAGGAATGCATTTATTTCTATTTTTACTGATGAAATGAACGTCCTGAAAGCAGTGCTTGTATGGAACAATAAAACATGCGGTATATGAGGAATGCTGATAAATGTTTGTAGATGATGCAGCATCTGTGACAGGTCAGGCCTGTTTATAGTGTGATTTATTTTTGCACGTTCCCTGCCTTCCAAATCCTCTTTTTGGTCCTTCACAGCTACCTTGTAGTTTGAAATCTTCCCTTGAGAAATCTTTATTGGGCATTCATTCTTTTTTTCTTTCAGAATCAAAGCTCAGCCTTATTCAAAGGATTTGATTCCAGGAATGGAGCAGGTTACTGTGGGAGGCCTTTTCAACAAAAGTATACCTCTCATGTCCGACATTTAGTAAGGTTATATCACCCAAAGTTAAATTCAGATAAAACCCCAGCATCCAAGAAGGACTTAAATCCAAGGATGGCAGTGGTGGATTAGTTAGACTGCACCTTCCTGCTTTCTGTCTGCAGTTAGTTTTTCTTTACTTTGAAACTGTGACTTCCTATTTGCCTTTGAAACAGAATTAAATGGACATTGTCTTATCTGTTGCTTACATTGATTTAAACATCAATGAAACACATTTTGTCTTGTTTGAATTAAGGACATGTATCACTTTTGATTTCAGATGGAAAACAAGTTATTACTCCTGCAGGATCAAACTAGAACGGCACAATGACACGTCAGCCTTTCCCAAAGGAACAGTTTCTACCATCTGAATTATTAACCAGCCTTCACCACGGACTTCTCCTTGGAAGCCAGTAATGACATTTACAGAGGATACAACAGCTTCCTTGACTGAAAACTAATTAATTGATTGTAGACTAAATCTGAGACACTTGTGCCTCAGATTTATAGACTAATGGGTGTTTAATAACAACATAACTAGGAATAATTCAATATCAGCTAGGCCTTAAATATGAAACATCTGCAAACTGTGAAACTTTGAGGAAAAGCTTAGAATACATTATATTTATAGGTCAAACCTCTATATCTCAGCATGGCACTGATGTTTTCAGCTTTCTTGTGGCGCCATCTACCACAACTGGAGCCATAGCACCCTCTTGTGCCCCAGTAAATGATCACAAGCAAAAAAAGAAAAAAACATGGTGTAGATAGTTCATTGTTTATCAAACGGGTCATTTGACTTTTGTGTCAACAGCAGCAAAGTTAAGCAAAGTTATTTATACTAGGTGAAAACTCAAGAAAATTAGAATATCGTGCAATAAAAGTTTCATTCAAGTCAGCAATTCAACTTCAAAATGTGTGAAAACTAACATGTGATATAAACTCAGTACATGCAAAAGTGAGATATGTCCAAGGCTTTAATTTGTTATAATCTTGATGACATGGCTACAGTTTTTTTGAAAAACGCCCAAAAATTCCAAATCTCAGAAAATTAGAAATATTTGGAAAAAGGTTCAATACTATAGGCTCAAAAGTTGTCACACCAGCTCATCAGCTAATTAATCCAAAACAACCTGTGAAGGGGTTCCTGAGTCTTTAAATGTCTCTCAGTCTGGTTCAGTAAATTCACAATCCAATGAAGGAAGACTGCTGACACTGACAGTTGTCAGAAAACCATCGTTGACACCCTCCACAAGGAGGGAAAAGCCTCAAAAAGGTATATGCAAAAGAAGTGGATGTTCCAAAGATGCGTTCAATAAGCACATTAATAAAAGTTAGCTGGAAAGGGATAAAGTGTGGAAGAAAAGGTGCACAAGCGGCCAGGAATGACCGGGAGTCCTTGGAGAGGATTGGTTAGGAAAGAGGCCATTTCAAAAGTGTAGGGGAACCCTTTCACAAGGAGTGTGACTGAGGCTGGATAGTACATCAAGAGCCACCACAGCAACAGACGGACCCTGCAAATGGCTATAATGTCGTATTCTCTTATCAAGCCGCTTCCTAACAACAAAACAACGTAGAGCACTTACCTGGCTATAAGACCACAAAAAGACTGGTCTGTTGCTCAGTGGTCCAAAGTCCTCTTTCCGATTGAGAGCAATTTGGCATCTCATTTGGAAACCAAGGAGATCCCAGATTCTGGAGGAAGAATGGAGAATGCACCAAATGCCAAAGATGCTTGAAGTCCATGTGTGAAGTTTTCCTCAGTCTGTTGTTGGTTTGGGAGCCATTGTCCATCTGCTGGTGTGGTCCACTGGGCTTATATGAGTCGCAGAGTCAACGCACAGCTGTCTACTCAGGGAGATTTTTAGAACACTTCATGTTGTTCTCAGCAGAAACAGCTTTATGGAGATGCTGACTTCAATCTTCCAACAGGATATGGCACCATCCCACACTGCCCAAAGACCAAACTGGGTTAAATAACCGATCAGATAACGGTGTGCTTGATTGGCCAGCAAACTCGCCAGACCTGAACCCCATACGAGATTTATGGGCGCATTGGCCAAGAGAAATATGAGAAAGACATGAGACGAACAAATGCAGCACGACTGAAAGGCCGCTATCAAATCATGCCTGGTCTTCCATAACACCTAGCAGTGCCACAGGCTGATAGCATCCATGCCACGCCGCATTGAGGCAAATTCATGCAAAAGGGGCCCAAAGCCAAGATACTAAGTTACATATGCAAGATTAAACCTTTCAGAGGGCCAATATTTCTCTGTTTAAAATCCACTTTCTATTAATTGTATGTGATATTCTAATTTTTTGAGATTTTCAATTTGAGGTTTTCATAAGTTGTAAGCCATAATCATCAAAATTATATCAAATGAAGGCTTGAAATATCTTGAGTTGCATGTTATAAACCTATGTCATACATTAGTTTCACCTTGTAAATCTAATTGCTGGAATAAACGAACCTTTGCACGATATTCTAATTTTTTGAGTTTCACCTGTATATTGTGATGTAAATCAAGTCATTTTTCAGAAGGCACGATCTGACAGTGGTTTGAGAGTCTCCAGCCACACAATAACAATAAATTCAATACAAGTATATTCTCAATTATCACATTTTGGAGACGTAAAAAAGCATGATTGTTGAAAGTATTTTCTATTTGCATCATCTACAAATAGAAGTCCACTAGCAACTTGCTGATTTTGGCACTCTTCCCCCTGACTGTATGAAATCGATGTTGTCAACTTAAAGTAACGCATACTCAGAAATCAGAAACCGAAATGTCATGCAGCTTATTTATGTAGTAAATATGATACTTTAAATCTAGTGTTGAACCACAGGACCAGTGCTGCACTGAGCAACAGACAAGGTCCACATCTCCATACAAACTGTGCTCTTTGGCTGAGAAATACAGCTAATGCACAGCAGACAATACCTAGCAAAGATAATACTCAATGAATTCTAAAATCACAGAAGGAATCTTCCAGATGAGTGCCAGTACCATCCTGATGCTAATTTTCTTCGTCTCATTGTGCGGCGCCCAACCGTTGTGAGCTCATTACTGCCCACTGAGGCCGGAGAGTAGAAAACACACACTGGTATTTGACGGTTGATGTGAACCTTAATTTTAGAGGGTGTCTTTTCCCCAACGGCCACAAAGGGCAATAACGAGCTAATTCCACAGTTGAAAACAAACACACCTGACCCAAATGTGAGATTTGCGCTTAAGAACTGGGACTTTCAGACATATTTTTCCTTTTTACAAACGAAAAGACGTCAAGGACGAAGACTAACTGGTTGTTTTGGCAAATGTACGTTAGGTTTAACGTACAGAAGTTAAAGAGGCTGACAGTTGGCTAGCTTGTAGGTTTGCAGTAGGTTAACAGTATAAGTGATGTTCCTCACTTGTACTTATAACGGTCGTCATTGTACTCGGCCAAATAATATATGTGGTTGCGAGACATATTTGCAGTTAAAGTATAATTATTTAGAAAACTTTTAACGCCAAGAAGTGACTATACCAACATCGTCCACATTTAGCGTTAGCTTTTAGCGTCTAAATTGCACTGAAGCTTTGATTGGGTGATTTAGGTCATGTGACCAGGATGGCGACAGGTAATCTTTCCATGGCGCCCATTCACCATGAAAACACAGGTGAGTAACTTTGTAAATGTTTCAAATTGATTCTTATTTGTCCTGATAAGCTGAATATCTATTGTTTGGGGGTATGACTTTCAATAGATCTATCTTCACATTTCTCTGGTGTTTTCTCTCCCCCTTGCCTGTCTGTGCTACTTTGATATGCGAATTTCCCCCCAAGGATTGATTATCTTATCTTATCTTATCTTATCTTATCTTATCTCCCCTCCCCCAGGTTGCGCAGCTCTTGTATTGTATTGTACTGTACCAATAACTAATTAATAACTCTATATACTTATATACTCTATATACCAATATATACCTCTATACCAATTGCAATTACTAATTTGTTGAATGTTGTCAATAGCTGCTCTTTGATTAGTTTTTGAATTTTACAGATGGCTTGAATGGCAAATACAGTATAAGATTAGTGGGTCTGTGGGGCTACAGACACAGACACACTCATGCATATATGATCTTCTTGTGCTTCTGCTGCGTCTTCCACTTTTTTTAATGAACCATTCACAGAAAGCTCAAACGATGCCCTAGACATGATTATGAAAATTAGCTCTCAAGGCTGTAGATGTTATTGCCCACACAGGAAATTCTTACATCACTCTGCTCTCTTCAAGTAGGATATCAATATAATTTCCTTTTGCTATTCATTTTATTGTGCTTCATGGAGCGCTTAAGAAACAGGACACACAATTGTACAACCGCAGGCAATGATGTTGTTGAAATATGGTCATAAACAGGTTCATATTAGGTCATGGATGTAGGACAGGAAAATAACTCTCCAGATATTCCATTTAGTGTGAAGATAATGGTAACCAAACGTTGTGTAACCTTTTTTTATGTTTTCATCAAATGTAGAGGTGTCCTTAACAGGGCCGGTGGACAATTAAATATGGAAGCCATATATGTTTTTCCCCCAGTATTATTTAATCAAAACTGTGTTTTTTTTGGTTTGTTTTTTTGGATGGGACAACTCATCAAAACCAAATTATTTGAAATGTCTTACCCTTATTTTAATATTACTCTAGCCAGTTGTTCTCATCAGTATTCCTCTCAGAGTGATTTTCGTCAACGCCTTCATCATTTCACATAGACTATGCCAAATGATAAAAAACTTAGTCAAAATGTTGTTCTGCATCACAAGATAATGTGCCTTACAGTCCACAGGCATAATCCCTTTGCTGATGCTTTGTTGGAGTTTTTCCCAATAGAAAAACCAGCAACCCTTTCCACACTGTCACATTGTTTCGACATTGTTATGTCGGCAGCCAGTATCAGATGTCCTGGTAGCAGGATCTGTTCAAAATAAGTTCAATCAATTTTGTAATTCATTTAAGTGAAAAAAAAGTTTTTTGATAGATTTGTGGTATGTTTTGGATTTAGCTTCTGTATTTAGTCAGATGCTAGATAATGCTGGGCAAAAGGCAAAGAAGTGAGATCTTGAGTATGGGGAAAATTTGGTGAGACTCCAGAGAACCAATTTCAGATGGCCTCAAAGAAAATACAAAAGTTCTTTAAAAACATATTTGATATGAAATTGCTGTAATGACATAAATTGAAAAATTACATCAGCCTATTCTCATTCGTACCTTATGTCCATATTTTATTGTGAATGTTGAAAGTCTCTTCAGACATTACAAACTTCAATTATGAGCCTAATCTCTGTAGCTTTTCATTGTTGTTGGTGAATAATGCATTTAAAAAAAAATAAGAAGAAAAAATTGTCACATTTTACCAGTTGCCTGTGTCTGCCCTTCCTGTAACATTGGTTATTTTGCTTCTAGCTAGTCTTAAAATAACTCTTGCTTTTTTGAATGTTTTTGGTAACCTGGCAACAGTAGTCAAGTGGAGAAGTGTCTGCTGCTTTCCTTGCCAATGGATGCTCTTTTCCTCTGTCTCTCCTTTTTCATTTGCGCCTAATGTATATCTAAAAATGAGAAAGAACACTGATATAAAATCACATTTAACTGCGATGAAACATATTTTTACTTACTACAAGAAGTTATTCTTACATCTTTTAAATGCTATGAACTCCACGTGAGTGTCTGAATGACTTATGTGTGTGTTCTTAGTTAATTCACATCATTTATGAATTACTGGAAGATATATTCATGTTTATGTTATTTTGAGAGCATTTCCTGTTAATGACCTACTATATATGGGTTGTTAAGATGTTACATGTAGCTCATTAGTTATTTTGGAAAAGAGGAGTCCAGGATCCTTTTTCCAATTTGTCTCTTTAGATCTTTAATATGAGCAAACAGGTCAGATCACTTTTTTGTTATTTGTTGGACGCTGTGGGACCTGTCCACATTTGGACCCCATCACACCATTACATTAGGCTGTCTGCCCCCAGTGACCAGTTGTCATCATCCTCCATTTCAGTAGCAACAGATATTCCAGATATTCCCACCCTTTCTTTTCCGCTCAGCCCCCTTGTGTTTCTCTCCACGGTGGCAGGGAAACGGTGGGTGGGCCCTCAGTGGCTCAGGATCTCTGCCTTATTGGACACCTGCTTACAGAGCACCACAATGCGTGAGTAGAGCCTCTGTCCCCATGGCTACACTGAAGCTATGAAGACAGGCTATGCAGCCCAGTTCATCTCTGCTTGTGGGGTATTCTGCAGACTTTTCTCACTTATATATTAAATGATAGAGCAACAGCGGATATACAATATATGTATATATATATATTGTACATATATATATATATATATATATATATATATACACGCACACATACACACACACACACATATACATTTATATATACATATATATATATAGGATGTGTATTGCATAAAAGGTTGGTCCAATAAGTGATACCTTCGGCCTAGACCTTTTTTGGACTGCAGAAATCTTATGTTGTATTATTGTGTTGTGCTGTTTTCAATTATGATATTTGAGTAATTGCCTTTTTTTGCCTTACTGTTTCTGTTACAAATTGCAGAATGAAAACAATCAATTTTATAAGCAAGATTCCTGCGCAGGATATTAACACCCATTCATTTTCTTCCTGTTTCCTGTTTCAGAACATATACAGTTGTCACTTATTGTAGTAGCTTCTTAATTGTTGATCCTGGACCTACTTCTGATGAATATGATTCAGGGAGATGTGTGCAGTACATTTATTTTCAAGTGACTAGTTACATGACAAAGCCTGAAGTCCCTTACGTTAGGCAGACATGGTATTCTTGGACAGAAACCCAAGCAGGAGAATAGTTTCCTGTGTGTAAGACAATTGATTTTTCCCTAATCCCGAACCCCCCTTATATACCATTTCTATTTCCGTTTGTTTCCTCTGTTTTTCTGTTTAGCCTTCCAATCTTGCATGTTGCCTAAGCCGTTTCCAGAGACATCAGTGGCAGATTTACCAGTCATTTAAAACAATTGGTTCTTGATTTCACAGAGACATTGTTAGAAGAGGAAGAGGAGACAAATCCATTCCTTACACGTGTGCATACTCACCCTTTGCATTTTAGGTTACAAAGGATTTTTTAATTGCAGGACCACAGTAAGTTCACTTATTTATTTATTTATTCACTTTGCAGTAGTGATCCATTTTCAAAAATTGAAAGTAAAATGAAACTGGCAAAGGAAAGTTCAATTTGATCAAATTATTTCATATTGATATTGGCATCTCAGACCTTCCATACAGTACTGACTCAGCTTGTATTTTTGCTACAGCTAATCATTTTGTCATGCACTCTGTTTGGTTTAAGAATGCTGAAAACCAGTTTGTGGCATCAGTGGTGTTTATTAAAGTTAATACAGAGAATAACTGCTTGACAAGGCCCTGGAAGACAGTGATGGCAATTTTAGTACTCCTGCAATATCAAACAGCAGCAAATATGCATTTCACAAAGACTAGTCTCACCTTGTTGAAGTGATTTTTATTTGGTCTAATAGAAAGGTAATATAGAATACTGATGCTTGCCCAGAAGCACCTGCTGATAAATTAACCAGTACATTTGCTGATAAATATCTTTGCTAGTGGCAAGAAAGATGTGCTTTAATGATCACTGTCTCTCAGATATGTGTCTCAGGCGGTTATAGATTTGCAAAAGGCAACAATCACAACTTTTATATGAATGAAGCTTGTAAGAAAATCATCCAAAATCATGAAATACTGTAACACTAGTGGTAAAATCAAAACCATAATGCTAATTATGCATTTTCTAAACACAAATGTTCCAATTATGTGTGTAACCATATTTGTCAGAGCAAAATACACTTGTTGTTCTTTTGCATTGGTACTATCTGCCCTCATACACATAAACAGTAAATTACTAATTAAATGTGTAGGTGGTAACTGTTCACATGAATGTGGAAAAAAAAAAAGCTGACAATGGTGACAATCAAAATCATGGGGGTGGCATTTTTACTTCAGTTTTCTGTGCAGGATATATCTTTTTGTTTCTTATCCTGTTAGCTGAACACGGTCTTTTTAAATTATGCAAACATCTCGTATCTGATGATGTACGTAGCATTTTTACATGGCGGTTAAGAGAAAACAAAATGTACACCTGCATTTGAAATGGTCTCTTCCACTATTCTGCAAGCCTCCCCTGAATGAGTCATCCAGCTGGCTCCTCATTGGATAAGACCATGCCATCCCTAGGGATTGCCTTGCAGAGGCAGAAAGGCCTTTGCTTCCATTCACAGAAACATTGGTATGCCGGCCTGCTATTTCATTCACATAAAAGACTAAATATTGCATGCTTTTTTTGTCCTCTGCTCTTTTTCTCCTTTGTCTTTTTGCCTCCTCTTTTGATTTGCGAGGGCCTGCCTTTTCTTCCTTGCCTTTGTGTTTGCCTTTGTTTCTGAGGAGAGAAGGCAGACGCGCTGTCTTTTTTTTTTTTTTTTTTTTTTTTTTTTTTTTTTTTTTCTATATTTGCCAGGCAGGAAAGAGAGATGTTGGGAGGGACTGCAGTGCGAAATCTGCAGCAGAGTGAGAGCGGAAGCTGCTTATGAATGAGTGTCAGTCTTTCAGCTTTGCTATATGCTCCTGAGGACATTTTACATGAATGGTGTCTGGCTGTGTTCTTTCCGCTACCGGGGAGACAAAGATGCTTCATTGGTGCTGCTGGGCTTTTTCTTTTATCCTTTCGGCTGTTTCATTCACTCATCTGCCTGAGAAACATGTCGTTCATTCTGTGTCTTTTCCAGTTGTATCATTCATGTAGGTCGACCAGGACCAGTTACTGGGTATTTTAGACAAGCTGTGAATCTGTATCTAGCTTCCTTGTAGTGGAACTGAATTTTTTGTTCCTTTGTTGCAGAATGCTGATAGAGAATTAGTGTTACACATTAGACAGTCACAATCAAAACGTTTTTATGTAAAAAGCAAAGATAGCTTTATTCCTTTTTGCATTAATGGCTGATTTATAAATATTTTAGGCAGGAATAAGTGTACAGTCTAGTCACAGATTTTTGAAAGTACAAACCTGAGAACCAGGAGTGATGTCTACCTATATTCTGCAGCTATTATAGATTAACATGGACAGTATATTAATGATGTTACTAATTCCCAGTTATGCTAAAATTGTACAGTTTTGTTTCTTTCAATGATTTGATATGATTTGGAAAATTACATTTTTATGATACATTTAAATAGTGATTTTATTCTTGAATCAGAGAAGTCTGCATTTTTTTGTTAGAGAAGATTTGGCTGGCACTGTGATTGTAGCTGTCATCTAAGTGGATGCTGATGATACTTATTTCACTTAATTTATTATCAATTCTGCGATTAATTAATTGTATCTGTCATCCTTCCATCACAACTTCTAACAGTTCATCCATCCCGACATTAATTGTTTAAAAGATCAATTCATGCAAACTATTATGAGTAATTATTTTACTAAGTTAAATAATCAAGCTACCTCTCATTCTTCATTTCCTTTTCTCAGAAAAACAAATAAGAGGGAAAGAATTACAGCAAATTAATATCAGACTAGGGAATTTAAAAATTGATTGGTTCCAGTGTGCTGTAAGTGGGAGGTTTTTTTTCTCTCCCTCCAACAGGAAGTGATTTGCAGTGTTCAGCAAGCCTTTTGTTGAGAAGGTTTTCTCAGATCAGTGAGTCATGCTTCAGCTCTGAGCCGGCAGGCAGGCAGGCAGGCAGGCAGGCAGGCAGGCAGGCAGGCAGGCAGGCAGGCAGCAGTCAGTAGAGAGTATTTGCTCTTCCCTCGCTGTATCTGTGATCATCGACAACATAGACCTTTCTCTGCTCTCTTACTTTTTGGAATTTTGAGACTAGAAATCAGCAGCAGTGGCAGCATCACCACTGGAAACCAAACAAGCTGCACCACAACACTGGCAGCCTTTTGGAGACCTTTTTTCTCTCCATCCCTTCTTCCTCTGCTTCAGTGTTGTGTTTTCATGGATTGTGTCTTTATGTTTCTCTCTTACGGACTGGATTGCAGCTCTGGATTTTACTGAGAGCAGATTGGACTTTGGCGACAGCAGCAGCAGCAGCAGCAGCCCAACACAACCACCACTGTAACCTCAGTAGAGAAAATTACAGTCAGGTGGCCTGTGATTGCTAAAAGGCGTTTGCTGCCTGTACTGCTGCTGCTATGTTACAGGAGAGGGTAATCAGCACGGCTCAGCCACGTCTGCCAGCACACTTGTGAAAGAGGCAGGCTGTGCGTGTCGGTTGGTGGAGAGAGGGGAGAGAGCAAGAGAGAGAAGGGTATGCTTCACCGTACCAAATACAACCGCTTCAGGAATGAGTCAGTAACGTCCGTCGATGAGCTTCTCCACGGCCTGTCCATGAACCCCAAGGTCTCGGCCACCCCCCAGTCTGCAGCCGAGACATCTTACACACCCCCGACTGAGGTCCAGCCCTCCTCGACCACCACTGCTTCCAGCACCCCCACCAGCCACGGCTCTGACCACCTGGAAGATGGAGGCACCACCCTCTGTACCCTTATCAACAAGGTGTCCAGCCTGAAATTCAGCAACTCAGGCAGCTTGCTGGGCATCAAGGGTCTGCCCTCAGCTGTCAAGGACCTGGCTGTGTCTAAGCTGCAGGGGGGTGGGGGATCGGGCTCAGGCAGCTCTAGTGGCCCGAGCCCCAGCGCGGCGACAGCAGCAGCAGCGGCGGCGGCAGCAGCCTCTGGTGTGGGCGGCTCTCTGTGCAGCTCGGCCTCCCATTCAACCCCCTGCTCACAGCTGGAGCCAGCTGTGAGCATGAGCAAGAAGAGCAGGCTGGATGAACTCCAGCCCAGTGGAGAGGACTGGAATGGAGGTGGAGGTGGTGGACTGCTGAGCAAACCCTCCAGAGGATGGCTACATTCGAGTGAGAAGATCTCTGGTCCAGGAGTGACATACATTGTGAAGGTTAGTTGTCTCTAATCCTCCCCCTTTCTAATTTTTGTTTTTTCTCCTCTCCCTCTTTTCTATTCTTTACCCATTCTCTCTTTTGTTTCAGTGACTCAAGCTTAGGTTCCTGCAAGTTTAGTAGAAAGAAGAGATAATGTAGTTTTCCTTGCACATCACAACATGCCCTTGAGTGGGTGTATGTAGGTTGGCTACAGCAGAAGGCTGAGCAAAGGGAGAACGACTAGAAAACAGACATTGAATAATTCAGAAAATACAGAAGGTCAGCATTGGAGAAAAGTAAAGGAAAACAGGTGATGGCAAAATAAAAACAGCAATTATCAGTGTCAATTAGAGCATGCTGTAAACATTTTCGTGTATACAGTATTTCTGTGTATGTGGAGCCACAGCGTTATGCTTTTGTAACCATGGTGATGTGTTATTTCTGTACATTGTGCATCTGTATGAGCTCTATGGCTGTTTTCGCTCAGCGATAGAGAGAAATGATGGAAGAGGAAAGAAGACACACGGTGCATGTTTGTCTCATCACATCCGTAACTTAACGTTAACGCTGTTCAGCCATCAAACATCATTTAAAGGATCACAAGTACGCACAACTACGAGAGCTGTGAATGTCATCATGCCGGCAATGAGTCACTAGCATGAGGAGTGATGATGCTGAGCCCTGGCTCTTCAAGGTGTGAAGTGAATGAAGAAAACGGAGCAAACCATATTCACTGAAGCCACAGCGTAGCAGTAAATTGAACATTTGCCTGAAGGTATAATCTTTTTTGTCTTCCTTTTATTCATGCAGCACATTAAACAAAAAGCAAAATTTAGCTTCGGGGGCTGAGTGAGCATGCTAAACCGCGATGCCAGGTGCAATGTGTTATATTCCAAATCAAGTTACACAGTATGATTGCCATCATATGACACCTTCTACAACTTGCCCGAACAAAGCCTACAGTATCTGTGACCAGTGTGACATTCCATTAACCGCATTAAGGCCGAGAGCGCTTATTTGTCCAGTCAATGCCGCTGAAAGCATCCACACTGTGAGAGGGGAAATGGGTCCAGTCTGCGCTCCCCCACCCTCTGCTTTTCCTGTGGTTTGAGTCCTGTGTGTATTGAGATCAACGTGGTGTTCTGCTCACAGCACTTTTAATTAGCGTCATGTGGTCACTCCTCGCACATCATGCGCCATTACTCTAACGGGACATTGATTGACAGCGACACTGTTTACACTCACACTTTTAGCCCATGGTAGCTTTGTGTTTATGATATGTGTTTAAGATTTTGAAGTACCTCTGTAGTAACAATTCTCCTAATGTGATTTTGTAACGTAATTACCTTGTTTTTGATCCCAGCATATTTGATAGGAAGAAGTTTTTTTTTCATTGAGGTCAGTGGTAACTTTGTCTGATTTTTTTTTTTGTTGTTGTTGCTGTAAACAGTCGCCATCTGCAGCTGAAAATGATGCCAAAACCAAAAAACGCTGAAACAAGGGCAACTGAACTTGATTGTAGATACTCGAAGACGTTTCACCTCTCTTCCAAGTTCAGAAGATTTTTGGATGAGAGGTGAAACGTCTTCAAGTATCTACAATCAAGTCCAATCACCCTTGATTCAACTTTTCTTGGATAACCATGACGATGATGATTGAGAACATTCACATACATCTTGCTGAGTATAGTAATAACCTTACTTTTTGCATTGGTCAGTATATTGTATTTATTGTCCGTCCCTGTTCATCTGTATTAGGTGCAGATTTTCTGTATGATCCAACATTTATAAATACTCATTTCATCAATAAAGTGTTTTACCATCTTGATCATATCATTACATGTCCTGTCTAGACTGTACATACATGAAATAGTAACTAGTTTTGTTTTATGTTTAAGTGGCATGCAACTTAATGATATGAAAGCCATTTTTTTTATTTTGGCAATAAACTAAATGTTTAGATTTATGGGCAAAAGATGTAAAAAGTGTAGCCAGAATGATATATGACTTCATGTTTTAGAATGTGTTTGCCTGTTACGAAGCCAGTACTGTTTATATATAGTGTGTCTGTATATATGTGTGTCTTAGTTTCGTTTGTTTTGTTGTTTACCAGGATCATTTAGAGGCTCTTCAGTGCTGTCCTCTCATTGATATTCATAATTAATCAAAAGTTCAGTTTTGCTGTGTGAATCATGTGCTCGTTTGTTGTACAGCATCAGAGAAGAAAAGTCTCCATGTTGTGCTCAGAATAGGTCTCTACCAATTTTATAACCGTTTGATATATTTTCGGCCCTGCTGAATTGTGCACTTTAAACTTACTGGTTTAAAAATAGAGAACGTTAAAAAATTGCAAACGTCATGTTGACAAAACGGTATTTGTTTGCTGGTCCTTGCAAAACGCTCGCTGGAGAGAAGTTATGAGTTTGATAACTTTATTTTTTTTCTGAAGAGGAGTGGAAATGGAAACGTTAGCATGTCTGTTTTGTTTACAACAAGATTATGAATGTGATTCTGATAATGATAGGAACTCATCAGCACAAAATGTTCCCAGTCTGTGCAGTATTAATTAGGTGAGGTGTTGTAATGTGAGTAGGTGGCTGGTATTGAAGATGGTTTTATGGGATAGGAGGACTGCAGTCACCTCATGTGGCATAGTAACACACTAATGCAGTTTTCAGATAATTTACGGTGAAAGAGCATTGACTAATTTTTTTTTTCTTTTCAACTTTATATCAACTTTGTGCCAGACTTTGCCTTTGTGAACTGCTGGATGTTTCTATTTTTAACTAGAAGTGAAAACGATACCAGCAAGTTTATGAAACCACATTTGCTGATGTAATACAGGTTGAAGTCTCCTCTCAACTCTTATTTATACAATGCAGCTGGGAATGAAAGGATGATAACCAACAATCACCAATTAAATCTTCCACATTCCTTACATATTAATTTATAATATCAGTGTGAAATAATTGTACTCAGTGTGCAGACTCAATATTAAACTCAGTGACCCCCCCCCCCCCCCCCAATCATTCATGTTTTCAACTTTAAACAACTGTGTCATGCTGATGTTAATCAATGAGTCCAGCCATTCGTGGTCTTCATCTATTGTGGTGATTTGGTACATGTTGAAGGACTGCAGTTATTTTGATTTAGTGAGTTTCGGTTGGAAACTCAAAACAAATCAGGCATGTTTTTCTGTACATTATGATGTGCTAGTCATGAAAACATTAATGTTACTTTTCACATTTTATTGAATATTTATTTCACACAGGCTTTTCATTCTTACTTTCCAGTATCTGGGCTGTATAGAAGTCCTTCGGTCGATGAGATCCCTGGATTTCACCACAAGGTCACAAATAACAAGGTATGTTCACACTTAATCTAGTTTTCCAACTGTTCAGTGTTTACTAAGGACAGGTGACAAACCAACATGAAGTGTTTTAGTTGTTGAGTTGGTTCACCAAAACATGCAACAAGAACAGCTTCATTGTGCTTTGGCATTGATTCTATGAATGAGTCTCTGAACTGTACTGGAGGGATGAACGCCATGTCAGTCAACAATCTCCCATAAGTTATCAATTGTGTTGTGATCTTGCCATATCATATATTTCACATCATTTTCATACTCATCAAACCATTCAGTGACCCCTTGTGCCCACTGGCTGGGGGCATTGTCATCCTATTTCTCCACTCATTCGCCAGTTGTCACCCACCTGTAGATTTCCTTTAAGACAAACCCACAAACAGAACACACCTCTAAGACTAGTAATATTTGAATATATAACGAATATATGATATTATAATATATAATATTTGAAGTGTTTTATTCATAATTAAAACTCAACCTCATGATTATATGATTCTTTACTGTTCTTACATGATTTGTGATGTTGATGTTGGACTTTTGTTTGGCAGGTTCTAAATCTGTGGCATCACATGAACTTCAAGGAAAACAAACGTATTTGCTGCTTAAGGAATAGGACACCTTAAATTAAATCCTGTCATTCTCTACTGACACAAAACAGTTTATATAACACTTACATGTTTGGGAACACATAGGTTAACAAATGTAGAGTATGCCATTTCAAATTATATTGAAATTGAATGTATCATGTTTAAAAGCTTAATGTAAATGTATCATGCTTAATAAAACAAACATTTCAAAAGTAGAAAAAAAGGATAACTCATGAGTCTTGATCTTGCATGTGTAGATCTAAAGATTTTAAAGAATTCAATTATTGAACTTAACTATTGAACTTTAAATAAAATTGTACTAATTTAAACTGAATCCACGAAGGTATCATTATACATGATAAGATATTTCAAGAAATTTGCCATTTCGTGAATTAACTTGGGGAATAGCTGATTTATACCATTAGCTACCACGCTAGATGGCTAACCAACTTGCTAAATAGCACAGATCATGCTAATGTCTGTCAGAAAGAATGTCATCATTATAAATACTGTAATATGCATATACATAGAGACAGCAGAAAATAAGTCCAAATTTGTATCTCTTGTATCTCATCTTTCTTTTCAAGTTAAAACCTGTCTACTGCAGCAGACACATGATGATGGCAACTCAGAGACTGACAATCACCCAATAGCTTGTTCTGAGAAAAAAAAGTTGAAGCAAATTGTGGAAAAGAAGAGCAATGAGTGTCAGCAGAAATTACTGGATTTTTTTTTTTTTTAGGATTTTGTTGTATTGCTTTGAATAACACCTCATATATTGTATTTTCACTTCAAATCTGTCTGAAAATCTCTAAAGTGACCAAATGTTTTACTACAAAAATTTTAAAAAAATGCTGTTGAATTGTTGACGGTGCCTGCGTATATTATATCACGACACCGTCCACTAATTAATACATGGTTTTTGTGTATTTAACACTTAGTTTCTGTCATGCCTCAGCAGGAATTGGGTTCTCTGTTTTAATAAGGTTATATCTGCCACCCAGTTCTTAGATAACCCCTTTTTAAAATGTGATGGGATTTTGATGTAATATGTACTATATCTGAGTATATTCAGGCTGCCTGTTATCACAATTTGTCTGCATGGAATTTTCTGTGGCTCCATGTGTATCTTTAAAATCATTGACCAATGTGCAGTGAGGCAAAGGCCAATAGTGAATCGGTTTGTGTCATGTCTACTTTTCTGCTTGACTTCCTGAAATCAGTCCAGTGTTAACGTTAGCTAGCAAGGCCACACAGTGGTAAGCCTTCTCTCTCGCTCTCTCTCTCCCTCTCACTGTGTGTATGTGTGTTTCTGCTTCTCTCTAATAAAGAGAGAGATAGTGAAAAAGAGATGGAGACAAACAGAGACAGAGAAATCTATATCTCATGCCGTTGCTATTATTAGATTTCTCCTTTTCTAAAAGAACTTCTGCTGTGAAAGATCTTTCCACCTAGAAAGGATACAGAAATTATCATTTCTGTTTCTGTCATGAAATCAGCATTCACTTTATCTCAGAGGCAAATTTGACTTTTTACATATAAAACACTCTACACTGCACATTCTGAATCTTGACTCAGGCCTTTTGGTCGAGGTGTATTGTAACAACAGGTAGAGTTCAGGCTTACTGTAAATATTTTTTGTTTGTTTTTTTTGTCTTTCCCCTATTTTAATTACAAATCGTATTTCATCCTATATTTGTAATACTATATTTATTTCAGATAGATAGATAGATAAATACTATTGATTATAAAGGAAGGAAATAACAAGTAAAGCCATGAGTCCTCATAACTGAATTGTGGGTCTCAAAAATCTTAATCTCTAATTTAATGGCAAAATAACCGTGAATCTGTGGCTGTCTGTGGTCACCATCTTGGCTTCACCGTCCTCTCTTCCTCCCTCTAGGGAAGCCATCAGCCTGGTGTGTGAGGCTGTTCCAGGGACCAAAGGAGCTCTGCGGAAGAGAAAGGTACATGGATGGACAGAGAAGGATGGAGGGAGGGAGGGATAGAGGAATGCAAGTGCTTGCCACTCTGAGAGAGCTGAGAAAATAAATGTTGGTGAAATGTACAGTAGATAGAAAAAGAGAAAACGGCATTAGATATTCATTTATCCTTCCGCGTTCTATATATAGCATTGCCTCAGTAAGTTTTTTTTTTTTTTCTCTCATCCATCCTTCATGTTAAAAGAGAGGGAAAACAGAGACAGATAGAGAGAGGGAGAAATGATGAGAGAGATTGTACTTAGACAAGAGAGAGAGTGAGGAGGAAGGAGAGAGATGAAGAGGTATGGGACTGTATGTGCGTGGGTGTAGTTCCAGCCCACGATGCATTGCACACCGCGCACAGTGCTTAGTGACTCATGTAGTGCACAATATCTGTGATCAGGAGGCTGAGCTAGTGTGTGTGTGTGTGTGTGTGTGTGTGCATGCATGTTTGCGTGAGCGTCTGTCTTCTGTGTGCATGTGCATGTACATGGTGTGTGTCCACAGCGTGTGAGGAGACTGTGTCTTAATGTGGGGTGTGAAATGAAGCATTACTCTGCTCTCTAGAGCTCGTTCAAATGTCAGTGAAGAGTATATAATGCAAAATCAGTGCTGACTAGTTTCTCTCTCAGAATAGATATGAGATATATGATAATGTTATTTTGGCAAAACACACACTGGTGACATCAGCTTGATGCTGAGATTTCTGAATGGGTTTGACTAATTTTATTTGGCCTCTTCTCGTTATTTAAATCATTATTCACAACAGTATTTTAAGTAACTTAACAATCTCATTATACATTATTAGATGAAATTTGCATGGCTCAGTCTGTAATCAATACAAACGGAACAATAATTTTTCCTTTGTATTCATTCATTAGTGGTGAAATGATTAAATGAATAATACTTCTTAAAGGCATAGTTTGACACTTTGGGAAGCAGGCTTATTCTTTGACAGTCAGATGAGAAGATCCATACCACTTCCATACACAGGAGACTACAGCCAGTAGTTGGTTAGCTTAGCTTAGCATAAAGACTGGAAACAAGGGGAAACAGTTAGCCTGGCTCTGTCCAAAGGTAATAAATCACACCTGCCAGCCCACCACACCTTAGGCGTTTTTACACTTTGCTAAGTTAATTGGCTTCTGGCAGGAACTTCATATCATACCATCATATCATTCATTTAGATTTAGAGACGTGAGATTGTTATTGATCTTTTCATTTAGCTCTCAGCGAGACGGTGAATAATTTCCAAAAATGTCTAATTATTATAAGATGAACTGTATCTTTGGTAAAAAGAGACTTTGCTTCAATTTGTTTTATTCATGTCTGTCTCTGTCGTCCTCTGATCCTCTCAGCCACCGTCCAAAGCGCTGTCTAGTATCCTGGGAAAGAGCAACCTGCAGTTCGCTGGCATGTCCATCAACCTAAATATCTCCACCAGTAGCCTCAACCTGATGACCCCTGACTGCAAACAGGTCAGCTGACGACCTTTGAGAACACATGCATGTGATGAATATTAATGATACTACTGTGATAGTACATTTAAGAAAATGGCAGCATTGTGTTCCAGAGTCTATCACAAACTTCTCAGCAACCACATTTACTGTGTATGTTAACTACTGCTGTGCACAAGCACTACTGGGTCAGGAAAAGGGGACATACCTAAAAAAGATTCACTGAAGAAGTGACAAGAAGACTTTTGTTTCCAAATTTAGGTTGTCACTATAGAGAAAATGTTATTTTTAGCTGTTGAAAAGGTGATTTTTTTTTTCTGGAATGAAGAATGTCTTTTTAAGGAGGTTTATGTAATAAAGGAGCAGTTAAAAGAGGAAGACAGGCAAGAGCACATGACCTCTACTGCTGTTACTAGAATTACCAGAGGAGGTTGGCATTGCACATTACTGTTTTTAGACAGTTTATTTGTATGATAAAATAGTGGATGGTTACTCAGTGGTAGTGTCGAGCATTGCCCTCTACTTTCATTCTTGATACGAACAGCAGATGGTGCCAAAGTAACAAAACAATCCAAATCCTGCACAGAGTAACTCACACGAGACAGAGTAGTATTTCTGGTATCATCTCAGTTTATCGAAATGTGGGATCTAAATGTTTATCTAAATGTGGGACATTTGACAAGTTAAAACTTTCTTTTGATAAACTAACTAGCTAATCAACTTATGATTGCGTGTGTGTAGAATCACAGAAATGTTGGTTAATTCATATGCACTGTATGATTTTGCTCATGACAGATCATAGCCAACCATCACATGCAGTCCATCTCCTTTGCATCAGGTGGAGACCCTGTAAGTAACTCAGTGGCCTGCATCAAATTCACTGATTTACTGATACAATTGAAATAACATTTTTGCCCATGGCAGATACTATTACGTATCATTAGTCATATTGATATATTATCTGTATTAATTGGGATTTTTTTAGAACACCAGTCAGTACATGTATTTAAAATGCAGAGGAATTGCTAGGCATCCAACAATTAAGTTCAACTGTTTTTTCAGCAATGTTCAGTGGGAGGCCAACATAGTTCTACAGGGAAGGTGATGATGCAGCCCTATGTGTTTTTTTTTTTTGTTTTTTTTTTAGTAGTAATTAGAAACCAAGTATCTAGTATTTTATTTGTGAGTATTTTTTGTTTCTTTTAAACATGAGACAGATTTATAAAATTGTCCTGTTCCCGTCAGCTAGTGAGTGCTAGCAAAGTTACAACAGCTTATGTTACAGTGAAATTAACTAATACGCACATGTATGCTTTGTGTTGCACTATGAGACTTAATATGCAATTGATGCTCAATGAAACTCAATAAACAGTGGCCTGTTCCATTTACAGTTGAGTGAAAATACTGTTGTTAATGTTGCCTTAAAAATATAACAGCACACCATGTCTATTGGACTAGCTGTAAAAAATGTGTCTTTTTGTCTTGTGTTTTTCAGGACACGACAGATTATGTTGCCTATGTAGCAAAGGACCCTGTTAACAGAAGAGGTAGGTGTTCATTCCGTTAACACTGTAGAGTGTCTTATGTCTCACATAAAACATGTTGCTCATTAAAATGCGTTTTTCTGACTCTGGTCAGCATGTCACATCCTGGAATGCTCTGATGGTCTGGCCCAGGACGTCATCAGTACCATCGGCCAGGCTTTTGACCTTCGCTTCCAGCAGTACCTGCAATGTCCATCAAGCAAGCTGTCCTCCACACATGACAGGTGAGGTGGTCAGGACACATTCATAAAACACACAAAAGATAACACATTGACTTGTTTTGAGTTTCATAATCAAACCATGTTTTTGCGCCAGGGTATTAAACATGGAGGAGTTACCATGGACAGAGGAAGAGGAGGAGTCAGCAGAACATCCTTACTATAACAACATCCCTGGCAAAATGCCACCCCCTGGAGGCTTCATCGACACTCGGCTGACCAATCAGAATGCAGGACCTGATGGGTGCCAGGTACAACTGAACAGAGTTACTTTTGTTTACGCATGGACTTGAGGTGCTTTGGCACCTGCAGTGTTTGTGGCTTGGTCCAGATCAAGAGAAAAATGTTTACACTGTTGCATTTCAGTTCTGTCCAGTTTGTGTTTACACTGGCTTTATTTTTCTGCTACGAACCAAGAGTTGTGAACTCAAAATTATACAGACTGACTGACTGTCAGAGCTACATGGATCCCCTAGGGGCAATTACATTCTGGTGCTTGACAAGTCATGCAACACTTAACTGCTTCTTTTATGTATATTTGTTGTATATATGTTCTCTGGTCACCAAAGAATTAACTGATTATGAGCATTATTGGTATGATTAGACTGAAAATTGACTGCACAAATGAACCACACAACAGTCCACTTACAGAGATCCTTCGTTTCAGGCCTCAGTCTGGTTGTTTAGTCCACAACAGAGTTTGATCGACAGCTTTCACACCAGCCCAAATGAAGTAAATAGACAAATGCACCAGAGTTCATTTTAATGAAACAAAACCAGTTAGGAGTGACAGGAGCCTTAATCTAAATTTTTGCACATTACATGATTAAAATTAGGGCCTTTTTTATGTCCACTCATGATATCTATTTCTTAATTCAGAAATATCTTTAATATCCACTGTGTGTCTGTTTGTTATCAGATGGGCCCAGGTTCAGTAGATCAGACATATTACCAAGGGCGGCACTGTGGAGAAAACTGGGGAGATGAAAGAAAGCCCATATTTATACAACAGGGTAAGAAAATCCATCCTTCCCACTACTTAAGTATATAGGTCATGTTTAATTTTGAGGAATTGCATCAGTTCATCACTGAGACTGTGATTGTTTCTCCAAATGTCTAGGTTCATTTGATATAAGCAGTCTGCCTGAGAGTAAAGGTCAGGCGCCAAAAACAGCAGAGATGCCCACGTATGTGAACACCCAGCAGATTGATGCCCAGGTGCTCGCAGCACTTCAGGCAGAAGCAGAGAATGTGACAAAAGGCATGGCAGCTGCAGCCAAAGAGAGCCCGCAGAAGGACCTGTTTGACATGAGTGAGTCTCTGTTGGCATGTATTAAAGTTTCTTTCTATTTTTCAGATGCTTTGAATAGTGGATTTAGATTTGCAATCACTGATATAAACTAATTTCAGTTTTCACATAGTTGAATGAATGAATTTGAGGCAAAGCGAATTTAAAACTCACCTGCTGAAGCATTACAAAGTAACCGAACAGTATCTGTGCCCTGATGTCAGAATAACATTGTAAGACAACTTTCTAATCACAGTTCTTAATTATAGCTGTTTCCTACCTTTTGTTTCCCATTGTCTTTGGTGTGGCATTATAATGACATCATGTCAGTATGAAGACAATAGAAGGACGTTGTTAATGTCAGTGTACAGCTTTATTCTTTCCTTCTTTCAACTTCCACCTTAACTTTGCTATTATTATACGTGAAAGATTAGTTACATAAAGATGTGTGTACTATGTATGAACAATCCATGACACAGATTACATGTGAGCAGTCAGCTATACTGTTCACAAGTGAGCTGTTATTATATGAAATTTAAGTTGTTATTTAAGGTGTTATTGTCCACCTGCTGTGGCTCTTTAACTGTTAACTTTGTTCCTGTACTAACAAACACCAGCACTTGTGCCACAAAAGAAAAACACGATTAAATCTAATTTGATACAGATACTTGCATAAATCGATTCAGAAACATTTTGTTAATTTGTTCTGAAAGTTATTCAATTAGAGGTTATATACAGTAATTGACCTATAATAGTCAGAGTGAGAGCTCATCAGAAAAAAGAGCCCTGACCTTGAGTCAATTGTCTGAGTAATATTTACTGTTTAAAAGCATCAGAGTAGATTTCATTAGTGGGTATTATTGTATCGTCAGTATAACAGAAAAATACTATGTACAAATTTTTTTTTTTTTTATTACTTAGTGGTGTGCAACACTGTCATCGGCATATCATTGCATCAGTTTACAAATTGTATGATTTATGATGTAAATATACAGGTGTATTTCCATACAGATTTATATACAAATGCATGGAGTAAAAATTTGAGAATACAATTTTAAAAATGACACGGATGACAGATCCGTTGTTCTCCAACTGGTAGTAAGTCTTTGAGTATAGTAATGTCATATTTTTGTGTAACTTTGAGGATATCAAGGTGTTTTGATGACATCAAATCGATATGTTCATCTGGATATGCTACTGCTAAATGCCCATAATCAAAGATAGACAAAAAAGCACAGAAATTCAATTGTCAGAAATTCCACAGGGGCCCTGTACACTACTTATTCAATTCCAATCTTTTACCATTATGAAGAAACTACAACACTTTACTCAAGCTAAAGCAATGATGACTTTGCACTTCTGGGAGACATGTTTAGGTTTTCATACCAACAATGAATTTATGGATTACCATACTTTATAAATCTTGACAGCTGTAGGATGTTAAGTTAAAAACTGTGCTAGAGAAATCCTTCCTCTCTTAATTATTTTGGCACTGCCCTCACCTATACCAGAGCCCTTCGAGGATGCTATTCAGTCTCAGTCCCATCCGCCGTCCCAGAGCCAAGCCCAGTCCCAGATGTCCAGTCTTCACAAGGCAGCATCCGTGGACAGCTCAAGCCCTCTTCTTGTGCGCTCACTGGCCTTCCGGGCACAGGAGGAGCTGGAGGGCCAGACATGGTACCATGGCAAAATGAGCCGCCGTGATGCTGAAAAGTTACTGAAAGAAGACGGGGACTTCCTAGTCCGCAAGAGCACTACCAACCCAGGGTCCTACGTACTAACGGGCATGCACAATGGACTTGCCAAACACCTACTGCTGGTGGACCCCGAGGGCACGGTAAGACAGGGTTTAAGGACATGTTAAGTGTGTTTGAAACGAGATACTGTAGATAGAGAGGAATGAATAAAATGAAGGATTTTTTTATTGTGCAAGAAAAAGACAAATTTATAACATTTCTTTTTCTTCTCAAAGGTACGGACAAAAGATCACGTGTTTGACAGCATTAGCCACCTTATTGGCCATCACCGTGACAACAATCTGCCGATTGTGTCAGCCGGGAGTGAACTGTGTCTCCTACAGCCCGTTGGAAGGAAACAGTGATGCTTGTAATGCCTGATGGGAAATCGGAAGCTCTGAACAGTCTCTCCTACCATCCTGAAACTTGAAGACGAAACACGAAGAGAAGATGCTTAAAGGCTCTGTGCGCTGACAGTGTTTTATGGAAAATTGGCCCACAGTTACTTTTCTGGAGGCACTGGAAGACACAAGATTTGTTTAAGATAAAAAAAAAAGAATATTTATAGAACTGTTATTATTTTGTTGTGATGACTGAAATGCTATATTTTTGAGAAGACATAGGTGCATTTGGACATACTATCTTGATTTGGTGTTTTAAAAGACTAAAAAAAAAAGACAGATGTTCTTGTAGTTTAGATGAAGTGCAAATCAAACCTCAAAGAGGTGTTAACAAGAGTATTTTAGAATAAAAACCTGAAATTTTAGTTTTGTCTGTCAAGCACAACCACATTTCTACAGGAACTGTTGGCTAAGAGGTCGGAAACAAAAACAGTTTGGACGACAAATGCTGTTTATAATGAATTACTTTAGGAAAAAATGTCCTTTAATCTCACCAATAGCGTGACAGCTCACTCAATTAGTCACTATATGAAATCTGCTTTTATTGGGGATTAGAACTGAATGTGTTTTGCTTTGCAGTAGTCACAAAGTGTTGGGGTGCAAACAGACATCCTTCATAGTGCTGTCAATGGCTTTAAAGATAACCTTTTTTTATAAAGTATTTTCTTGTGTCACAGTCGCATGACTTAAAATCAACTGTTCTTGTGGACATTGTTCGTAGACCTTGATACCCCTTTATTTGAAAGAGGTGCTTGTGTATGCTGACACTGTAAAATATTTATGCTTTTCAACCAGGGATTGTTTCTGAATTGGTTCTCTCTGGATTCTTTTAGGTGTGTAGTCAATGATTAGTTTTGGGGCTTGAGTCATGCAATGGATATTCTCACATTCTTAATTAACATTTTCGGCTTTTTGTGAACTTTTAAAAGATATTATCATTATTATTATTATTATTATTTTTTGAATGATCACAAATGAATAGCACAATCAGAAAGTTAGATCAGTTAGATCATCTGTGTCAGTTGTACCAAGATGAATTACCAATGTGTTGAGATGTAATTTACACTTTATACTTACAAGGCTTGATTAGACCAGTGTTGAGTACACACATTGTGCACCCAATACAGAATGTTCAATATTAGATCACCTTCACTTGTTGATGTTAAACAAAGAGATTTTATCTCTCAATGTGGCGATGTCTTATGGCAAGATTGCTTTATTGCCACTAGATGTCATCACAGAAATACTTGTTTACCCCAGTCAGTCACACTCACTTCACTTCCCTTATTTTATCACTTACTAGTAGTGAAGGATGCTATCTGACTGTGTGTTGCTTAAAGTACTACAGTACATGGGAAAATCCAACTCTTAAGAGTTTTCACCCATTATTGCTTGACAGTTAATAGTTCATTTGCATTTTGCAGTCCACTGTACACAATCGTTCCTCAGAACAGTTTGTGGTATTTAGGTTATACAGACTGTTTTTGTAGAGTGGGGAATCAAATTTTGAAAAGGCTTATAGAAATAGTACACAGCAGTTCTGGCAACAGACTTTTTAAATGCTCTCATCCTTACTATTGTCAGTACTCTGATGGATACCAAATGAATGGGGCATTGTATTTGATATGCACTGGACCACTTCAGTTGAACCAAAATCAGCATGTGTTCAATGAGTTTGACAAGACAGATGCAATGTAATATAATGTGCCTGTATTTTGCTGCAAGAGGGAGTGTACAGTACATGCATCTCACAACAACACATATTTAGCAAAGAGCAGTATTGGGATTGTTATGGAAAAAAAAAATCCACCGGATCCATTTTGGGTTAAAGCCGATTAAGACTTTCCTTGATTCCTTGTGTCCCATGACCCAGTTTGCTTCTCAGGATTCTTTTGAGGAGAGTGCATGAGAGAAAGAGCCAAATATATTGGTATTTTTGAGGGAAAGGTGAGAAGAAAGGACACAAAGAATCACTGAGTTTTATGTGTTGTTTGTTTTGGGTTTTTCTGACAATTATCCGACATCAACTTTTAATTTGTTCGATTCTTTGTGACATAATTTCATCAAATCTAATATCTTGGGAGATGGAATAATACGCAAAATTAAAAAAAAAAAAAAAGCACTACGCTAATGTCAAGAATTATTTTGAGATCAGTGTTTGTTTCTAAAAAGCAAATTTGTAGAATCACCTTGGCAAAATGTGCAATGTTTTGAACAAAGCGTATATACAGCAGGAACAACTCCATACTTGAATCTCTCTGATAACATGATGATTAGCTGTGTGGCATAAAGAAATTGTACAACCAAACAAGCTGGGATACAAATCAGAACATGGCTTCTCTCCAGATTTCTGTTGATGAAAATGTGCCTTTTATTTGTACAAATGGTGTTTTTATTTCTCTTTCTCTCTCTCTTCAAAGTGCAATAGCTGATCTTCAATGGGGCATGCCTGTTCACTAGAGGTTGTGTTTCGCCCTGCTGCGTGTTGCTGCTTGAGACTACTGTTTTCTCTCTCTATCTCTGTCTCTTTATCTCCCTCCCTCTCCCTCTCTATTATATATTATAAATGTATAATTTCCAGATTCTAAGTATAAATCTTTGTCAGAGGGAATCACACAGAAACTCACTATTTTGGAACAGGTACAGAAAAAAAATGGAAATAAAAACAAAGAGACAAGTCCAAATGATGTTTACAGATTTAATCTTTTGGTTGTATGGGTTTATCATTATTCTGTATGACTGTTGGCAATAAAACCGTGAATGTGTAGAATCTCTCTGTATATTCTGTAATAATCAATGACACATTTCGTTCTATGGCAGATGCTGCATTTAGACACACAATTTCCTCTAAAATCTTAAAAGTTTTAATAACCCTAATTATTTCTGTTTTGTTTTTATTTGTGTAGTTTTACTTTTAATTTTTAAGCACTGATTTTAAAAAATACATCCATAAACAGTGCTCGTTATTCAGGATAATCCACAGAACACACGAACAAAAGTTTTAATAAAGACTATTTCTTTTGTTCAAAAAAGTTCCTGTGAAAGTTGTTCACAGTGAAGTATTTGAATCATCCCACGTGGCAGAGGTGCTGCTTGTTGAAAGAGATGTTGCTGTTGAATTTTCCAGATGTTATTTTACTGCTGTGTGCACCACAAACCCTGGACATACAAAATCAAAACTATCTGCACGTCAAGATGCCACTATAAATAGGTGAAAAATGTGTTATTTTCTCAAATGTGTAAGGAAGGCACTACACATGAAACAAGGCAGAACTGTGCCCTCTACTGGCCACATGAGTTGATCAAGGTGAATCATCTTTATACAGTACTTTCTTACTTTACTCTTTATTTTTACTTTATTGTGCCAAAGCTAATATTTTTTTTTGCATCATATATAAACAGCTGCCTCTAGCCTATCTAGTTCTAGTTCACATGCAGCATCCACGTGCCTCTCAAGACTTGTTTCTTCAGTTTACCAGTTTCATGCTTTTAGAGATGATACAAAATGTTTCCACTTCTGGAATAATCAAGATAAAAAAACAAAGACAGACTATAATAACAATTCAAAATTTGTTACTAATATGAGGATTGAAGATATTCTGTACTGAACATGCAGTATATTGTAAAAAATATCACATCAGCATAGACGACTACCATTATCAACCAGCAGATGGAGCCTTGGTTCCACTAAAAAACTACTGCTGTTGAATGAACCGCATCAGTTACATTAATTCTCTGTAGAGTGGTAACAAATGCAGATCTTTCATTTTGACCATGATGCTACTGATATAATGAAAAAGGTGGCGAGTCTGACTCTTCAACATGTGTTTTTTTTCTCTCAAATATACTATTTACAAGGCAGTTTTCATTACAGTTAACGGTACAGCATTCTGTAGTATTACTGAGGGAATACAAATTTACAGAATAAACTGTATAGATTAATAAATAACTTCAGTTGTTTATCATTACACTAATAATTGTCTACAATCATTCTTCGTTACATTGTTTTTGCAGCACTATAATTGCACTTTTTTTATTAATTGCAGGTGATTTCTCACTTCTTCTTTGTCTTATTTGTCTTTGTCTGGTCACATCTGTAACCACAAAGGTAAATTTTTTCTGTCAAGGCTAAAAGCACCACTAATTCTCAAATCATCATTGTCCTGCAAAAAAAACATGTATCTCCAAAATGTCCAAGTTTTAATTAGCTCAGCAGTTTTTTTTTTATTGTTTGTTTTTTCAACCAATAAAGGATTTGTCTGCTAGTATGGTGTAAAATAACCACTTTTGGAGATACATGGTTCTAACGTAACAGTGATGTAATATGACCTGTGCTTGACAAAGAGGCAAAACCGAGAGAGTCATTGATCACATTGGCCTCGTACATCAATCTAATGTCAGATGTGAGTTCTCTGATTGTGGATGATGCTGTTGTATCAATATAAATCACAAAGGAGAAACAGCTGTCCTGCAGCCAGGCCTGAAGTCCACACTTCATTTAAGAAATCCTTTATTCTTGATCAGTCGAAACTCATCATCGTTTCTGTCCTCTGTGACGAGCATATATCAGGACCACCCTCACCTTCTTACTGGCTCCCTTCTTTCACTTTTTTGCGTCACTCTCAGAGACAGCCTGGGCGGCCCCTCCTGCCACCACTGAGACTTGGCCATGAGCAGTGTCCATCTCCTGCTCCTTCCCTAGCTCTGTTTGCCTGGAGCCCTGCTGGTTCTGGTTGGGGTTGTTCTGGCTGCTCCACGACTTGCTCCTGCTGCGGCTGGGCTCCAGAGACTGCTTGTTCCCACTGCCATTTACAGAAGCCTTCCCCCTGTAGCAAATGCCACACACCAGACCCAGGAAGGCCCGTCTCATCTCTCGGCTGGCCAGAGTGTAAATCACTGGATTCATGGCTGAGTTGAGCACAGCCACCGCAATGAACCAGTCAGCCTTGTAGAGGATGGGGCAATGCTTGCCACATGCCACATCCACAAGAAGCACGATGAAGATGGGCGTCCAGCAGGCGATGAAGACCCCAACTACAATGATGACAGTGCGCAGCAGGGACATGGCATGCTCAGAGTTGCTGTGCTTGCTCACTTTTCGGCTGCTGGACTTGACCAGGATGTAGATTCGGGCATAAAGGACTGACATGGCTAAGAGCAAAACCATAAAAACTGTGATACAGAAAGCGACATATTTCTTGGAGTAGAGAGGGAGGACTATGGAGCAATCTGGGAGGTTGTCCAGACAGTTCCAGCCCAGAATAGGCAAAGCTCCAAGAGATATGGCGATCAGCCAGCAGGTCCCTATGAGCAGAAACACTCTGTAGTTCTTGTTGGCATCATAAGGCCTCATTTTGATCATAGTCAGGTGTCTCTCTATAGCAATAGCCAAGAGACTGAAAATGGATGCACCAAGTGCCACAAACATGCTGCCCTCTCTGACAAACCAGAGAGCAGGTGAGAGCTGCAGGGTCTTTTCTCCTGACAATAGCAGGTTGACCAGGTAAGCGACTCCAGCCAGCAGGTCACACAGCGCCAGGTTGCCGATGAAGTAGTACATGCGGTTGTGGAACCTGTGGTTTCTCCATATGGCTACCAGCACGGTGAGGTTCTCCAGGACGATGAAGCAGCATATGATGAGGAACACGATGGTTTTGGGGTCCACGGAGCCATGGCTTGTGCCAACACCAGGCCGGTGGTCCAGCTTTCCTGTGTGGTTGTAGTGGCGGTATATCTGAGAATTGATCATCTTCAAAGCACCGGCTGCTGACACTGGATGTCAGAAGTGAGCAGGGAGTCCAGTGTCAGCAGATCCACCGTCTTCAAGTGCACGGGAAGATCTGAGTGTTGTGACAGAGAGTGTTATTGTTCACAGTGTTGTCATTTTCCAGTAATTCAGAAGTTCATGGTTTTGTTTAGTGGATTTAAACTAAATCTGGTTTACCTATTTTCTATGAAAACGTGAAAACAAAACGTCACTAAATCTAGCAAACAGTGCAGAAAACTGTATAAAACTAAAATACAGGAAACATATGGTCTACTTAAAATAAACTACGATGCTGTTTGTTTGTTTACACGCAATCTTGGACCAGTTCCCAAAAAAAATCAAAGAGTACCAAGAGACTTCTAAAGTATAAGTATTGGCTTTTCAGACATGACGTTAGTTTGATATTGAATCAATTATATACTGTAGTTAAATGGTGGATTTCACCTATTTGCGCCTACTTGAGCCGTCCCGTTTCCCCAAATGACAACATTAACACAACTTACCGTTGGATGCTCGCAGTTCAGGTTTACTTGGAAGTTAAACTCACTCCGAGGAACATGCATTTCATCGCTGAGTCGTCAATTCTCCGTATTTCAAGATTCGCTTTAGAGCTTTAATTCCTTCCCGCTCGCTCAGTGGAGGAGAGCAGCTCCTCATCTTTTGCTGATCTCTAAACTCCGGAGTTTTTCGACAGTTGGCTGGAAGTCACACCCCTCCCTCGCTGCTTTCACCCGGACAGGGGGAGCAGAGAGGCTGAGGCGGCTGCTGTCTTAAGGGTCAGTTCAATTCATGAAGCATATCAAAGCCAGGAGGTGCGTGGAAACGCATAACTTCTTTTAAAGATATTTTGCAATTATCCAGTGTAACTATATTTGTCCCCCTGGCACGAGTTTTAGTTGTAGGCATTATGCAGGTAGGTTTTTCTAATCAATTTTTAATTTCATTCATTTAGTTATTTGTTTTTGTAAACAAGAGTCAAAACAAGTTTAATTTATATTCATTTAAATATATATTGTGGAAATTGGAAACATTTGGTAGGCTATTAATTTTTATATCAAGTCTTGACATTTATCTGCATAAATATGAGTCAGAAATATGTTCATTAACGTAGTTTTGGTTCCTTTGCTTCAAAGGTTTTTGAGTCTGTGAATGAGAATAATTTAAGCTAGCTAGCTAGCTTTTATTGAACATTTCATTAATTTAATTCAAGTTAGCAAGGCTAAATTATCTTAGCTTGCTAGATAGCTGGCTAGAAAACAAGTGTGTGTGTGTGTGTGTGTGTGTGTGTGTGTGTGTGTGTGTGTGTGTGTGTGTGTGTGTGTGTGTGTGTGTGTGTGTGGGTGACAACTGAG